AACGAGCATATGTCTATAGGACTTTTTTTCTTAGTTTTTTACTCCTCTACACGCTCCCGAAGTTTTGCCATTTAATTTGGAAACACCCTGTATATAATAGAGGAGGATTTATTGAATGAAAAATGAACAATCATATTTTTCTTTTTAATCGATAATTTATTATTCATTATTCTCGATATAATCGTCGCCGATTTAATCTTAAATGTTCCTAGTGTGAATTGTTAACTTATTCTATATTATAAATATATTATATAATTATTTATAATTGTCTCATTTGCTCGCGCTATTCCTGATTGTGCATATTGAATTCTACGAATTAAATATGTGAAAATGAACTCACAAGTATTTAAAGAATCGCGAACAGGATTCATCGCACATATGCGATGAATCTTGAAAGATAAAGACAGGAAATTATAAAATTCACAGAAAAATATTAAGTATCGAGATTCGTTTTGATTGGATATAGCCTTCGCGCTTAATTGTGTTGAAGAAAAAACAAAAATTCCAATTTAGATAGAATGAGTTAAAATGGAATGCTGAATATTTCTGTTTTAAATTTAGCTGTAAAATATTAATAAAACGTTAACATCAACCGAATTGCTATTCTAAGCCAGCAGTATTCCGATAGAAAGTGAAGATCATATGTCATACAGATGTGGAAAGTCTTCGGGCTTTACATTCGCGTTTGGAAACAAGTTGTCGTGCAAAGCTAAGCTGATTGCGATCTTGTGTTTATGATCGAAGGCATCCAGATAAACATAGCTGGATGTCCTCGACTGATATCGCAAGGATGAACCGCGGCTCTCTCTCCCTCCGTGATTGATTGTCTCGTTTTACTCTCTCTTTTTCAATTCCCCACCGCTTACGGCTTTTCGTATCTCCCTCTCTCTGGCGTTCGTCCGTCGACTATTGTCCGTAGCAGGTTTAAAACGCCTTCCCTGCGACTCACTCATCAACGATACGACGGATATCATCATGCGATTCTACTTCTTGATTTTTCGCACCCGGCTGGCAGTCGCCGTCTTTGTCACGCTCGTCTCTCACAGCATTCTGGTATGAAATTTTATAAATTAATTCATAAAAATGCGAAATTTGAAATTTCGCACTTTTATGAATTAATATATCCGTTTTTCATCGAATATTTCTCAACATAGGCAAATAATTTAAATATAGTAGAACTCTATTTATCTGAATAGGTCGGGGGATAAGACAGTTCTGATAACTACTGAATTATGGTTTGAATAATAGAAGTTCATTAACTTTTCTCTCTACTAGTACTTATTCCAATAAGAGGAGTTGATGTTTAGAAAACTGAAGACGTACCAGTTCTACCAATGTAAGATTAACTTCAATCTCGGTTCAACTTACTGTTTATTTTTTCTAAAATATTTCTTCGAAAATATTAGAAAAAGATAAAGAGTAAATTGAACTGAGATTAAAGTCAATCTTACATTGACTTTAATCTCAGTTCAATTTACTCTTTATCTTTTTCTAATATTTTCGAAGAAATATTTTCCGGTGGAACCGGACATATGTCAAGTACGGTGCCATAGTTAAATACACAGCGACAATCTTATTAATCTGTTTAAGTCTAATGCGCAATCAGCCGATAGTGAATCGAACAAAAATATTGTCAACGTGGACGTTTACTATGAATCATTATGCAGTGATAGTAAGCGATGGATCGTATATCAACTCGCGCCGTCATATCCGGAATTGAAACATCATATTCACGTTACATTGGTTCCTTACGGTAAAGCTACGGTAAGTACAATAATTTTATAATTGCGTTTCTCTTTCTGTGATTATTTTATCGTTTTGATGAGATGAGTCCTGATGATGAAAATAAAAATTGAAGTGTAAGTTGGATATAAGAGGCCTAGAATGATAGAAGTCTAAACAAAGCTTCTAGGAGGCGAAAATTGAGACAATGAAATGTAAAAAAGGTCCCCACACACACATTTACATATTTTTTATAGTCACAATTTTTGTCTCTTAGAAGCTTCGTTTATGTTTCTGTTACTTATCTCTACTTACATTCGATTTACTCTTTGATTTTTTCGCCAGGGATGATAACAAGGCGACAGTGTGAGACGATTTGATCTCGGCATGGACAATCATGTGAAAACATAAAATGCTTTATATCTCTGCTTTTCTCAATATTCATTTATTAATTTATGCTATATATATGTATATGTAATGTTACATGTCTACAAATCTGTTAACCCTCTGAAGCTGACATAAAAATGTGTAACATCAGTTACTTACTTATTACTTATTTTATTTATTTATTTTTACTCATTACTTATTTTGAATATTAAAAACATTGTTGGTTTTTTAATACTAAAAAAATAATTTTTGATATTAAATTAGATTAGATTGATTAGTTATTGACGCTAGGTCAGTGAAATTCATTTAATTTGTGATTAGAAAGTACTACAATAGTGCTTTTTAGTACTCAAACTAAGTAATTAATCACTATTTTTCAATATTAAATTTCTGTAAGGGTAACTTGTATAAAAAATATAAATACAAAGTTTATTTTAAGAACAATAATTTAATAAAGTAATCAAATTTTTAGATATAAAGAATATAATTGAGTGGGTTCAATAAATCTACCATCAGCTACAGAGAGTTACTTAACATAGAGTTCCTTAATCTTTATATATTTACATATTTATCTACTGGCTTTTCCATTAAATATTCCTCTCGAGAGGAGTTAATGAGTCGGATCAACACGTAAGGGATCCGTTTGAAACCATGTGGCCTTGAAAACGAAAGAATGATTGCCCTCGCTGTAGTCTTCGATATTCTCATCCACGTCGGCCACGAGGAAAACGTTATTGCTTTAAACGATTAAAATGCAAATTGATGACGTATGTGTCTGTAGCACCATCGCGAAAGCAAAACCGGTCCGTGGCAGTTCTCGTGTCAACATGGGTCCAGCGAGTGCCGTGGGAATAAGGCCCATGCGTGTGCGATTCACGCCATACAGTCCTCCGAGGCAGCCGAGAACCACCAGTCATTGATGGTCAATCTGGTCGTTTGTGCAATGTCCGCTGGTACCCCGGCGACTGCTGTTCCACAGGTAGCTTTACCTCTATATATAATTTCCTGGCTACGATTAGCCGATGTAGCCATCGTATAATTGCCCCGGCGAACATGCCTTTATCGAATGTAACGTGTAATTAATTTTCCAACGACTTGCATCGATGAGTAAGAGTCGGCATTTAACTCGTAACATCGACCTTTTGGCACACTTTCTTATTGAATTGCCGCGATCACGCAAAGCGCGGTGCATTTGACAAACCGTCACTCGAGGCATTCGTTTAATGAAAAAACGAGCACTGCATTTTTGAAAACTGAGATGTTTTATCGTTGAATAAAATACCATCGAGAAATTTAATCACAGAAATTTAATACTGGAAAGTATAGTGATTAATTACTTATTTTGAATATTAAAGTAAGTAAATAGTCACTATCTTTCAAATTAGATTTTTGTGAGTATAATTGAGAGAAATCAGAATCATTTATCTAACGGTAAAATATATTTCTTTACCTCGCGACGTGAAACAACCTAAGTGACATCGTAAAAATACTTAAAAAGCACCGCAAGCAGAAAATAAAATTATCATGACATCAAAATGGCGCCAAAATGATTCCAAAACAATTATTAACCCTTTGAGATCCACAAAGAATTAAAGTTACTTTTCGATGTCCTAATTGTTCTTGGGACATTTCAGTGTTTCGAATGAGTTTGAATTATCATTGGAGTTTTTATTCGAACACAATTTCTTTCACGCGCATGGAAAATCAGACTGACTTTCATAGATAATCGCTAACTTTCGATAATACACGTCGCGTTTAATATTTGTCGGTTATTAGATAACATAATTGCTGACTGATCATTTTGCTATATTTTCACGTCGCGTCACGTTCGTAAAATTGCGAAAGTATATACCGTGTAAAAATTCCTTGCTGATAAATATGGCCATCTGGGGTTAAGATAATAACGATAAAAAGTTTTAATATGAACTATAATAACGCGATGAATGAATTTTAGTGCGCTGAAGATGTCGGTCTAAGCACAGAAACGCAAAAGTTGATCAGCGATTGCATTTCGAGCCCGCTGGCAGACAATTTGCTTGTGGCGAACGGCGACAAAACGGATGCCCTGCAATCACCTTTGAGATTCGTGCCGACTATAGTGATCAACGGGGTAAGCGTGTAGAATATCTTTTTAATTCGCAATGACTAATTATAAATTGGCACACTCAGAGAAAAAACCAATTACCATAATTTAACTACAATTTATAGTCATTTTCGGTGCCAGCTATACATATATTTTATTTATACACGTATATTTTTTTAGTGGAATTATATATATTTTATTATTACTCTAACATTACAACGCTCTAATAATTATTAAGCCAGGTAACCAAATCTGCATCAGAGACAGATTTTGAGCAAAGTATGCTACAAATTTTTGATGGCAGAAAAGCAACTGTACAGAGTATTTAATATCTGTAATATCTGACGATGTCAACAAACTACCGCCAGATAATAAGACAAAGTCTAATGACATGCTTTGCCAGTAGATTGGCAGCAGAAACCGAACAGGATTTGCAGTTTCTGTTTAGTTTTTGCTACCGATCTGTTAGCACAGCATGTCAGCAGACTCTGTCGACAAATTTTGAGATTAATATGGACATAGGCTATGGATGGTTGTGGGAATCTGATCGAATTTGTTGCCAATCTGCCAGCAAACTGTTAGCATTTTGCTATGTGGACATAAAAATGGAGCATAATCATAATTATTTTACTGTGCAATTATAATCAAATATCAAACACTTTTTTCTTAGTGCATGGTTTTAAATGGGTTATCCAATATTATTACAATTATCGCGTGTACAGCTCTACTCGAAGGAAAATCAGGATGAGGCGATAAGAAACTTCACCAATCTGATCTGTCGGCATTTGACGCCGAAGCCGAGCGTCTGCAGCAGCGAGAGTGCCGAGAATTAAAAAGGGATAGGGCCGAATCAAGCGTTGAAGGTGTGGAGATTATAGAATAAACACTTGCTCGAAATAAATGAAATATATTTTGTTCACCTATAATATACATAAGTACCTATACAAAAATATATACGAAAATATATACAATAATATATACGATTTGTCAAGTACAACGAACTAATGAGTATAAAATTGATCGTAAAAAGAGAGAAACGAAACAATGAGATCGCAGCGGCAGGATGAACGCGTCAGCGATCGGCGAATCATCCACGCTTCCTTTTTCCCTAAGAAAAAACACGTACATTATATAAAGAGCAACGTAATTAATTCTTTTTAAAAGAAATCGAAGTATTCTCGGGATTAGCGATTAATTACGTAACCACGAACTAAAGTAACTGTGTTTGAACTATTCGAAAACGCGATTCTTAACCCTCCGAGCTAACGTTAGGATCTGTAACACAATTACTTTCATAAGAATCATTTAATTTATATTAAAATCAAAAGGCACTAATTAATTTCTAAGAATCAAAATGACATAACTCTCCTTACAGAAATTTAATAATTAAATTGGTTAGTGATTAATGACTTATTTTAAATATTAAAATTATTCAGTTGTTTTAATATTCAAAATAAATAATTAATCACTAAGTAATTTAATAGTTGCAGAATTAAATTTCTCTAAAGGTCATGTAAAAAAGAATGAGTAATACATTTATATATATAATAGAAAAATTATTATTCAATTATTATTCAAACAAATATGTATTAAAATTTAGTATCTTTTCTCAGTGTACAAATGCTTCGAAGCATTCTTCAATTGGCTAATTCTTAAAATTCTTTCTTTTGATTGGTCAATCACACAAATGCTTCGAAGTATTTATAGTGAGACTTTGACCGTACTCTGAATGAGTCCAATAAACCTGCCGTCAGCTCCAGAGGATTAATCGAATCGAGGTGCGAGTTCAATCATGTCTTATTAAATTACATTCCGTTCATTCACCGACGCATCGCGTCCTGTTTCACTTTCGTCGGTGATGGGATTCTTCTGCTGAAAAAGGCTCATCCGTCGATGAAGATAGCGTCGTTCAAAGCGCTCAGCTCGTGAAACTGTCGCTCGATGTCGACGCCTAACTCGTGGAAATCCGGCACCTGATCCTCTGCAGTCACGCAGAATCCTGTAACGAGCAACTCGGTGACAATAAGCCGCGTTCAGCAGAAGTAAGAAGCGCTTCGCGTCGATTGGATTATACTTTTAGATCTAGAGGAGTAAAGTTCTATCTCAGCGAAGAAAACTTCCAACACTTGCAGAATAAACATTTTGCTAAATATGGCCGATGCTTTGCTCTCATTCTCTCTCTCTCTCTCTCTCTCGCTGTCATTTGATCTCGCGCGCGCGTTTTTATATACTTTCACGAAATTACGCGAGGGCTCCTTTGGAAATAGCACGGGTGCGTGGCACGTGGCGCGTGACAAAACAGAGTTTTGTCATCTGTTTTGTCACGCGTACGCGTCCGCGCGTTCTCGCCGTACGCGGCGTATGCCTTCCCCCTCAAAAAAGTAAGGAATATTATTTTAAGACTCTGTATGGGGTAAATGCATAAAGGAGTGAACCTCCTCTGAGATCAAGCTATAAACGACCGGGAACGACACTGTCATCGGCGCGATGCGCGAGCCGCATCAGAAAAGTCAGAAAAAGCCAGCACGCGCCCGCGAGATGCGTGCACGCACGCACTCACGCACGCAGACAAGCTCAGTATCTGCGAAATTAAATACTATCCCAATGAAAAAAAGTCTCGTGATATCTCATAATATTTTTAAGATTTTGTCATATTTCAAATTTATAGAAAAAAGAATTCTTAAAATAAATAAAGGATAATTTACAGTAAATGCTGTATATATCAGCATAAATCAGTTTTTAAGTTAAAACTTTAAATAATGAAGGTTTAATAAGGTCAATAATGATTAAAGGTGCTGCCTAATATTTTTGGCCAAGGCTGTAAGTAGAATTCAAGAATAGAGAGAGATAATTAGGAAACGATAGCATCTTGCATTACTTATTTACGGAAGATGCTACTGTGTATTTTTTTCGGGAGATAATTTTTTAGCCATGCCTCTTTCTAAGAATATTATACAGATGATCGGAAACAGCTATAAATAATACAAAGATTTCTGAAAGTAAATTGTCTTTTTAATTATCGCGATTCTGATTCACTAAATATGACTTCCATGATTAGTTCGATCTATCTCGTAAGTGTTATTTTCGTAAAGAGTAACTGTAATAAATCTCGTAAACAGAAAAACAAGATCTTACTCTATTAGCAATAAAAGTTAAAGGTCATGCTATATCTTAACTACGGAACTATTGCGCGGATATGTAAAAACTGTAATGTAAGCAAACAAAGTAAGTAAATCCGTATAATAAATCAAACTAACAAAGACTCCTTATAAATCAAAAGAAATTGGAAAGAATAAGGGCAATAGGAGTCAGGCGCAGAAGACGTCGCGCAAATAATACACCCATAAAGTGTAAAACTTCTTTATTCTACTAAAAGTAGAATAAAGAAGTTTTTTAGTAGAATAAAAAAGTTTTACGCTTTATGGGTGTATTATTTGCGCGACGTCTTCTGCGCCTGACTCCTACTGCCCTTATTCTTTCCAATTTCTTTCAAAGTAAGTGTCTTATTGTATTTCGGTGAGATTTTCCTGTATCGAAAATGCCAACTGAAAATGTAAATCATGCCGAGAAAATTAAAGCCATACGATATAGTCACGACAATGAGAGAGCAATACTTTCGACCGAAAGGATAATATAACAATTAATATAGTCACCTACGAAGTCTAGAAAATAAAGAAATAAGGTAGTTAGAATGAATTGATATTTATTTATTAAAATCGTTCTTAACATTTTATAGTTATAAAATTTTAATAAATATAGTCTGTTCGATAAAAGCGTGAATGACATAACTTTCGATATATCTTTTATGCCTTATCGCGATCCGGCAGATTATCAACGGTATTTGTTGTTTCATATCGCTTTTTTACTTATTTATACACATCGTAGACTTTTTTTGTAGCCGCTTCTCATAATATTTTCGGTCCTTTCGAATGCGAAAGAAAGCTTCGAATCTTTCAGCGTACGCGACACTGATCGTTAAATACGTCATTCTTTAGTAAAGTCGGACAATAACTAAAGTGTCATACTGCACATTGGAAACTGAGGATTGCGAATTAGAGATTAAAGGCCTATTCTTTTTAACTGAACTACTTCCAACGTGGACAGAAAAGGAAGAAAGATTAACCGTGCAAGAACTTCAGCTAAAAAGAACAGACCTTAAAATTCAACCAGTTAGATAATTATAATTTTAATCCATTTCGGTATGATTGGCTAAGAATTCTAATCTTCAATCCAAAAATTTAACAAAATTTACATTAGCAATTAGATCGATTAAATACATCCATTACCTGTATTTTCGTTCTGTACATTAGTAATGTCGTTGATTAGAAGATGACGAACCGATTCGATCGTTTTTTGCTGACTGCCGTCGAAATTCAGAGAGATTCTGTTCAGCTGGCAAGTATTGTCCGGCAACGTGTTCTCCTCTTTGACATAAATTTTAGATAATTTGTACGACGAATGATTCGTTTCCACGTCGAGGATGCACGCGTCTTGACTTCTTCGGTGAGAAATTGTCGAGTTTAATTTGTGTCCTATCGCACCGGTTGTTACGTTAGTTGGTACCTTATCCGATGATAAAAGAGTGGATAACGTACTCGAATTCTCAGTGTGATTCTTCAGATGCTTCCTAAGACTCGACGGATCCGTGTAACGTTTGCCGCAGCCGCTTACCTGACAAGCGTATGGTTTCTAGAAAAAGAGCAAATTAAAATCATCATTAAAATTATTTTTCTGTCAAAGAAGATCATTGAATTAACAAAAATACAAAACTTATATCATAAAGCTTTACATAATTAATTATATTTAATATTTTCTATTTGCTATTTGTAGGTACTTACATAGATAATTACATCTTCCTCATATAAATATCATAAATATCTCATCCCAGCAAATAAGCTGACATCATTTTGACAAAAGGCATTAGACGTCAAAATGACGACAAATAATATCAGCTTCTTTTTTGTTGGGATATTTTTAATTAATATTCAGAAATATATCCTATTTTGAATCTGACCAGTTTTCAATATTAAACTTAGCAAAAATTGTAACGCTATTATATTCGGTACAGTTACCTTATTACAAATATTTATAACTTGTACCTACTATAAAATTTATATTAATTTTTCTAGAATACTAAATAAGCCGTAATACGTGCCATAAAACAATACATATCGGTACAGCTTACCGAGTGTAAGATTATATTAAATCAACAATTAGCTACCAATGAGAAATTTTAGAGAAGAAAAAAATTTAAATAGCAATTTATCCCTTTATTAAACGCGCGAAAAGTAAGAAAGCTATCATACTCTGTCATAATGCGTTCTTTGATGCTTGGCCCGATCACTGCTGTTACTAAATGCCTTTGAGCATCCATTGTGTTGACACGCGTAAGGTCTTTCGCCTGTATGCGATCTCTGATGTATCTTTAAGTTTTCTAAACGACTGAAGGCCTTCTTACAGCCAGCAAACTGAAACAAGAAGCAATAATAAGAAATTAACACTTTGCTGACAAATAGTAAAAAACGAAATTTTTGATAATGGAAAACAATAGTACTTACATATTTTTTTTAGAATTTTTATATAAATTTTAAAATTTCTGTATAATTTCATAACTTTTTAGAAAAATTTTCAAATTTTTTTATACGAACTGAAACTTTTCAAAAATGAAAAAGTCTATTATGTACAGCTTCTTAAATTCTTCATATAAACTCAGAAATATCATATTCTAAGATTTCTAAGATTTTTAAGATTTTTCATTTTATAAATTCTAAAAAAGCTTTATGACATCTTCAAATTTAAAGTATTCTTTTAAAAATCTTTATAAATTTAAAATATAAAATTCTTAAAAATAGTGATAGATGCAAGATATCACAAAAATCTAACATCACTAAAGTTTAAAACGCCGAGAGGTGACGAGGAGACGAGGACACCAACCGGACATTTATTCGGCTTCTCTTGCGTGTGCACCCGCATGTGAATTAGCAATTTGTATCTCGCGTTGAACGGCCGAGCGCGTGGACATCCTTGCCACAGGCAGGCGAACTCGTCCTCGCGGCCCGTCGTCGTCGTCGTCGTCGTGGCCGCTCCGGGGAAACCCTCTCCCGCCTCCTTGCCGTCTCGCTCCTTGTCCCGGTCCCGTTGGATCCGTCTGCCGTGGCCGTGCGCATTCGTCGAGGACGACTCCACGTGCCGCCTCTCGATATGTCGCACCAAGCCCTCTTGCTCCGTAAACGCACAGCCGCAGTCGATCCAGCGGCACTGATAAGCCAACGTGAGGCTATCATCCACTGGTCTCGCGCAATCTATAATGTGACGTACGCACGCGAAACGTAAACACACGCAACTGGAGCAGAAATTGCGTGCGTCCGAAGAATTGCTACATGTATTCGGATCGTTGCGTTTAGGGCACAGCAAGTCTAATGGCGCTAAAAATGTTGGAAACTTGGACGCGAAAGTCTAAAATCGGGACATAAGATGTATTTAAGATGTCGTTTAGATGGTTCTCGCAAAAATATCTTTAAGACGTCTCCAAGCAGAACAACAAGTCACGATAAAATGACATTAAAATGAATCGGAAATGATTGAAAAATGTTTTGAAATGTGTTTTGGAGTCATTTTGATATCATAATGACTTGTTGTTTCGGATTTTACCCGGATAGAATGATAATTAAGTTGTAATGGTATCATAGGACGTCATCATGACGTTATTTGTCACTTAAAAATGAATTTATATAAGTGATAAATAAAGTTATGATGATGTTCTTATGATATTATTGTGATTTCTGTGTTCTATTTGAGAATGCCCCAATTTTGGATTTTGTGTTATCTGAGAAGTCATTAAGGATGGCGGAAATATTTGGAAAACGCGCACGGAAAGAATATTTTGCTAAAATATCTAAAAATTTAAATGAATGCAAATCTGAAAATAATTTGTTATACCATCGAAATAATTATGTATGAAGCTTAAACATGATAAGCAACTGCAGGAAGTTTTAATATTTCAGCAATTATTTTAAACACAATGATTTTGATTATATGTATATTCTCTAAAATCTTTGGAGTGGAATCTAATTCTAAAAAGCGTCAAAGAATGACAATTGAGCCAGTGTTGAAAAAGAGAGATTCATTGTCAATTTTTGATATTTCAAGTTGGATTCTACTCCAAAGATTTCAGAGAATAGCTGAATTTTTAGATTCAGCAAACCGTTCTTAAAAATGAAAAACGATTTCTTCCTCTAATTAATGCCTCTTTATTAATCTGCTAGAAATCACGAATAGGTCCTGACGAAACGAGATCGTGAAAGACTAGATTTCTCTAAAGTAAATAAAAGCAGTGCATACTTACCATAAGATTTGTCATTCTTCTCGGTCTCAGCAACCTTCGATCCGGTGACCCGTCGATTATTCCCGAGCAATAAGCCCTCGTTCCGCGGCAGTATCACCTGATTTCCGAAACTGTCCATCGCGCCAATAAGCTCACCGTCGAGGTTGATCGTCGTCGATTGTTGCTGAGAAGAAACGAGATGTCCAACCGCGTAATACGGCGGATTGAAGCTCTGGAATGGTTCCTGCTGCTCATCGCTCGCGAGACAAGTCGTCGATGATGACGATGGCGAATCCACGTTGCTCAACAATGACGTCGGGTCACCCCTGATCAGACTGAGGTCAAACTCGTCGGCGATCGAGGGACTGTAGTTCTGAACCGTGACATCGTTTTGAATGCTCATCAACAGCGACACCATGTCCTCTTGGCAGTCGGGATAATCCTGATAATCGCCCTGCGACTCTGCTCCGTATTCCGGAAAAATCGTGTTGTTGAAGGTGCGCGAGAAGGAGAAGGCCGAGCCCATCGATGGTAACTTCTGACAGTCTGATGACTTATCCTCACCATGATCTGTCGTCGTCGTCGTCGTCGCCGTCACCGTGTTGCTCCAAGTCGGCGTGGTCGCCTCGCTGCAGGTGCTACCAGCTGGCGATCCACCACCGTTGGAGGGATACTGAAAGACAACGGGTACCTGGTCCCAGTCAAGATAATCCTGCGGATCCGCGCCGATTTCCAGCGGGGAGAAGAGCACGCTATTGTCCATCATTTGCGAGGTCGTCCAGCAATACGGTTGGACGACGTCAACGCCTATTCCGGTCATCGCCATGGACATCAGATCGGGCAGGGAACCGTCGTCGACGAAGTCGTCTTGCTCCAGAACGGGGCGTCGCACGTCGTCCTCCTCGCTCCGCTCGCCGTGATAATCCTCGAGGTGCATCTCCTCCGCCTCCTCCTCCTCTTCCTCCGTCGTCGTCGTCGTCGTCGTCGTCCTCGTCGATCCGAGCTCGTCGCCGCCGGCAGCCTGCCGTCAATCATAGCGATACGTGGCGTTAGTTAGAATTGCAGCACGCTCGATGGAATTGCGAAACCGCCGGATTTTGTAACGTCGTCCGACGCACGGCGTGGATTAAGAAAGTCACGAGAGCCGCTTTTCAACGTCTTATCCGACATCGTGCACTTTGCGCCCGACCGACCATTATCGCGGGGCTCGTCACCGCGTAAAACGCGAGATAACGCGGCCCGAGTCTTCGGGAACATCGACGATGATAATGGAGCAAATTTACTACGACGATACTCGCGACGCTGGCGAATTGTCGAGCGATTCCGAGCCGAGTTCTACATTAGCGTTCCTCATTATTCGGTTGCTCTCTTGTGCGAAGATCCTTTCGGATCTTGCCAAGGATTCATCCGACTCGCTTTTGCGAAGTTCTTTCTGCGCGTCACGATCTACTCGATAATCAATTATGCGTATTTATAATTCCCGATAGCCCGTGATTTAATAGTGAGAAATTGATTAAAGCGGGAAACGTACATCCCGCTTTTGTTTATTGTTGTGATTTCTTAGTGTGTCGGGTAATTAAACGTACTTACAGAAATCGAATTTAATACTGAAAGAGTAATTACCCAGTCGACACAAACTAGAAGTGACGTAACATCAATGTTACAATTTCGCACTCAACAATGTTATCACATACATTTATATTATTGATTGCGGAATTATATAACATTGATGTTATGTTACCAACTTCTAGTTGGAGTCGATTGGATAATTAGTTCGAGTATTAAAAGCATTGAACAATAGTGCTTTTAATACTCAAAATAAATGCATCACTACCTTGCAGTATTAAATTTCTACAAATTTCAATTATATGTATGGAGAAAAAAACCTGAGAAAAAAACCTCTACTTTAGTTACTAAGTAGATTTTATTTTCAGAAGTCTAGGTCGACAACCTTACTTTAATATGTCGTAAGCCGTAAAGCCGCAAGAAATTGACCAATCACAGTCGATTATTTTTCTTTCGACTGTGATGGTCAATTTCTTATGGCTTACAGCTTACAACTTTTTTATAGAATCGAGAGGGGTTTCGAGTATAATATTATGTACATTGTATCGCAGATCTAAAATCACGATTACGATTGTCTCTATCAATACGAAAAACGCCTCTCACGATCGACTCTCACGATCGAAAATAAATTATGTCCATTTTTACCATTTTAGATTAACTTTGATCTCAGTTTAATTTACTTTCTGTCTTCTTCTAGGATACGCCGGGTAGAATCAACGTATGTGATACTTTGAAGCATTCTTTAATTGATCAATTAATAAAAGTAAAATTCTTTCTTCTAATCGGACAATGAAATGCTTCAAAGTTATAGTTCGTAGTGAGGAAAGTACTTTGACGTACTCTAGTTCTAAAATTAGAAAGTGATAAGAAATAAATTAAGTTGAGATTAAAGTTACATTAGTAGAAATGGGGCATGCTCGATTCATTTTCGGTTAATCGCACAAGTAGAAATAACGTCTCACCTGCCTGTCTCAATCGCGATCTCTAGAAAGTCAACCCTCTCCGAGGCGGACCACCCTCTAATCCGATGGGAAATGTCATCAGAGGGAAATAAAGCGCGATCGTACAGAAGCACAACAACGAGACATCTTTCCTCCCATTAAAAAACGTGTCATAATCGCCGCCAGGTCTTACGCATTATTTAATCCCACGCGTTAAATCGCACGCGATAAACTTCGCCGCGCGAACAGGAAGACGACCGATTGTGCCTCACTTTATTCCAGGAGTCTACAGGAGTCGGAGATAGCGTGAAATTTAAGAATAACGTCAGAGCAGCGGCTTACTTCGATATCAACGTATCAACATGAACACGATGATCGACGGGCCGTTTATCGCGTCGGTCTTTTCCGTTTGATAACTCTCTTCTTTCTCTCTCTCTCTCTGTCCTTCTCTTTTTCTCTCCCAATCTCCCTCCCTCTCTATATGTTTATCTGTCTTCCTCGCGTGGCACGCGCTCGATAACGATCGCAAGAAACAAGAACAACACCGGTTTCTTCTTGCGGAACCGATAAAACGGAATATCAAGGTGCCTTGGTGCTTTCGCACCACCCGTTAACGCGTCTCGTCGAAGACTATCAGCTTCGACGACAATTCTTTCCTCCGTCGGAGGAAATCTCTCGGAGAACCGAAAGAGGATCAAGGGATCTCCCACCCTCCGTCTCCTCCTCCTCTAATGAAGTGCGTAGCCCTTCGAGAGCGTGCTCCTCTTCTTGGAAAACGGAGGGTGGAAGGGCGCGAGAAGGGAACGTCGCGCCGCCCACTCGCGTGGCTGCACGATGCTGCATCGCGTAGCCGACCTCCCTCCCGTGCCCCTTCGCGGTACACGGCCGCAACCGCCGTTACACTTGTCGCGGGGGTACGCGGCTTTCCCTCTTCGCGGGGACCCCCCGAGGATGGCGACCGAACATCTGCCGAGGCGCGTAAATACGCGCGTTCGCCGACCTCGCAGCGACGATCCTTCCACGCGCGAAATCATTCATGATTTCGCTTCTCTGACTAGAGATGTGCGATTTACAAAATTGTGCATCGTGATAATAAAGTGCGATAATAAAGAACCAAATTATTTTCAGATCTGTATCTAATTAAATTTTTAGACACTTTAGACAAAACCTTTTTTCTATATAGAACTAAGAAAATAAACTTAAAATTATATGAACGTACACAAACTTCCATTTATGAAGATACGGAATTCTTCCTTAAGGATCCATTGCGCGATTTTTATCTTACATTCTAAATACTAAAGGTTGTATTTTTTATACTTTAAATACTGTGTTTCATCTTTACTTAAATCACTACGTGATCATTTATTTAATGGATAAATAAAAGAGTAAAAGAGTAAGAGAGTGAGTTTATTAATAGATGGAACTCAGCCTAAATTATGCATAAACATGTACAAATGTTTATTCACATTATGAAAAAACGATATATATTTATTCTGTATTTCCATAAATAGAAACTTGTATACGTTCATAATTTTAAATTTATTTTCTTAGTTCTATATAGAAAGAATGTTTTTGCTGAGGAGCAAAAGATTAAAAATTTAACTAGATACAGATCTGAAAATAATTTGGTTCTTTATTATGTGTCATATTAAACGTCTAATATATTTTAACAAAAAACTGCGGATTATTACGCAGTATAAAATTTTCACAACTGATTATTGTTAGCATTTTTAGTGACTTATTATGTTAGAATTCAGAATAGAGTGCTATTTGTGATTTCACGCGTTGTTTAACGTGAAAATGGCCGTTGCCTATTGTTATCTCTTACAGTTACAGTCATATCTATCGCATGCTCTAATTTTTTGTTTTTTTAACATGCATTATTAACTACCGACCACTTATAATGATTTCTTTTATTTTGGTGTTTATCGTCCATCATTTTATATCTGGATTTGTATTGGATAGTGGCACTCTGGACGATAATCTCACTATTCTTTATTTACTTATATTGTTATCTAATGTATTGAGACGAAATCAAAATTCGTAGCGTTACGAACTTTCAAAATCGAGCAGCTGTAACTTTTAAAGATGAACGAAATATAAATTTGAAAAAAGGGTTTTAAAATTTAACGTTTCTACTTTCATTATGTCTTTTGAGTTTCTGTAAATTTGGTAATTTTTATTTATAGAAAACTACGAGTTGAACAAAATGTCCAGTGCATCCACTAAGACTTTAAGTTAATATATCTTTGTTTAAAGATGATTTTTTTTTTTCATTTTAAATATTGAAATTCGAGAAATAAAATTATATAACTTAAAATGATGCAAGGTTGTGAAAAATATTTGTTATAATTTATAAACAATATTTCACAACTTTCAACACGTAGTTGGAAAAAATGTTCGAGTTTACTAAACCCGCGAATACCAATTATGATAGAATTAAAATAAACGGTCGACACTAATTTATTTTCGACCGTGCGTTGCTAGTGTTAAATTGATACACATGATTCATCGCGTCGAAAATTGTTTGAAAAAGTGTCTAAGACAGCTTGAATAAGTGAGAGGGCAATGGAGGAGGAGAACACAACAGAGGAGGATACAACGAGCGAAATGGAAATGAAGGGAAAGAATGGAAGAGGGAGAAGCGCGCTCGAGACGATCTTTCGTCGCTCGAGCCCCTAAGAATCGGGTGCGGGGCAAAAAAATGTAAGACCAGCTGCCACACACGCGTCACTTATTAACAACATGCTTCCATGGGCTCGCCACATGAGGACAAGTCGTTCACTCCTCGCTCTGCTATCTTACAGCTAGACCACCCTTGTTCGCTATTATCTTCTCACCTCGTCGCGATCGTCTCGATTCTTTACGATTCTTGCCAGAAGGACATTGCGCCTTGAAGAATCTTCGAAGGCTAAAAATCGTCTCCGAGATCGTCCTGTCGTTTCTTCGTCGCGTTATAATCTAAGATGCTGATTCTGTCCTTAAGAAAACATCCCCGAAAGAAGTCGCGTTTTTATGACACACGGGGCGGTGACCTCTTAGTATTTAGCAGTTGGTGACACTCGAGCTAATTGCAAGTGTGAAATTTTGTAGCCTTTGCCGTAAGTTTAAAGCACCCGCACAAATTACTGTAAACGTTCTACACTGTTAAATTTATAATGTCAAATTATAATTATATTCAAATTGAGTTATTTTTAATCATTTCTATAGGTCGCCTATTCAATATGTCGTTAATTTAATTAAAATAATAGAGTTGAATTTAACTCAAGAAAATGTATCAAATTTAACTCAAATTTAATTTATTTATATTTACAAACAATAAACGCAAACATTAAGATGGACGTTGTTTACTTTGAAACTAACCACAGAAATGGATACCAATCCAATGGTTTACATTTTAATAGATACTTTTCACATGGAAGTTAAAAAAATAACAAAATATTGTTTTTTTAACTCAAAAGATTAGGTTACCATTATTCTTTGATCCAACAGTGTATATCTAACAAAAAAAAATTAAAAAGCAGTTTTTGAAAAAATAAACTAAAAACGTTATTAAAAAATAATATTTATTTTTCTAACAATTTTATTCATTTAGCTTTACTTTGGCTTATCATCCTCTTTTCCAAGAAAATGTAATAAATTGATGGTGCTTTTAAACTTATGATCAAAGCTGTAATTTGATTGTAAGATCCTAAAAGGAAGAAATTTGGTTTTGGTGTAAAACCAGATGGAGCATCTTCGTTTTGTACTCTTCATCAAATTTCACACTTCTCTTCTGTGTTATAATATGTTATTTGGTGTCTCTATTTCTCTTTCCATATGTGTATAGTACTCGTGGACGGGAGCTCCGTTCATCTCGGCGTTTCTCCCTCACGCGGAAAATTACGAGCTCGCGATGCAACATCGGAGTACATACATGCACGTCCTGGTGCATCTCTCTGGACGAGAGTTGGTACGTCGTATTACGGGTAGATAAGTGATAGAGTGGCACATGTGGTCTGCCAGCCCTCTGTGCTTACATTACATGCACGCTACGACCGCTCGCGGTCCTGGCTTTTTTGCTCAGGCACCTGTCAGCTTTGCTCGTACCATAGTCGCCGCATGTGCTTATGCGGCTCTGAGAGAAAAAGAAAGAGAGAGAGAGACCGCCCTCAAAATAAATATACCGTAAAAAGGACACTGATCATGTTCTCATCCCTCCATACGGATGCAATAACAGCGAAACGAGTGGAAAAAGAAGAGAAAAATCATCCCGAGCGCGTTTTAATCGCGCCTCGCACAAAAACGGCCGTCCGCCCTGCACGCGTAATCTCCGAAAAATGATCGTATCGGGACCGAAAAGATTAAATAAACATGCACGAAAATGCACGTTAAGCCCATGTTGCAGACGATATCAATGACCCGCGATATGTTAATAGTATTAGTTACTTTTCACTCAGAATGGGAAAGCTTCACGATGTAATAACGTTTAACAACGAGATAATTTACGTGAAATTACTCAGGCAACAAAAGTTCAAAATCGGGACATAAGACGTCTTAATACTTGCGTATTCATTACGCTATTGCACCATCTGACTAAAACAAATTACTGGAGTCTGGTTGCATTAATTGGAATTTGGATTGAAATCAGAATTTCCTGGTTAAATCTATTATAATTCTTATAGTTGAGATAACTAGAATTCTGATTGATACAAACAGAATCTTCGTCCATTTTCAACCAAAACTTTGTCTCGGTGCTACTATGTCGCTATAATACAAATTGAGCTGCATATTTTTTTTATTATAAACACGCCGATATAAAAGTACCTATTGAAGTTTTGTTTTTACTTTTTATCTATAAACAACTGCATGCAATAAAAGCATATTTATAAAGACTGATGTTCTTATAAAATTTCACTATTGTTGGCGGACTGCAAAAGATTAGACCGATTAGACATTTTTGCATGGACCGCCTAAAAACGTCGATTTTGAATTTTGTGTTGTTTGATAGCTCTCATTTTTAAAAATAAAAACAGCCAAACGAAGAAAAAGTTACTTAAATTAAATCGATCCGATGTAGATACTCGAGATACGTTCGATCATTCACGTCTATACACGCAGAGTATTGAAAATAGCGTGGGCCGCGAGACGTACATACGATACATACATAACGTGCCGGTAGACCGTTTAGCATTCGGTCAAGCTAAGTAAAAATAGAAAGACGCGCGCTCTGCATGTGACTTCGTATAATTAGGCACCGAAGAGAAGTTGTGTGTCCTATGCTCCTCCATACGTTACAAGCGCAGTCTATTATAGAGAGTCTAACGGCGGGTATCCATTTTTTTTCTCTTTTCTGTCTCGAAGGCAGTAAACGGGTTTATAAGCTTCTCCCAAACGAAAATTACGTAAACTTCGCCCACATATACACGTACGCATAGATACATATATCTAAAAAAGTTTTTTGAAGGATAGTTAATTAATAAATAAATTTAGAAAAAATCAATTATTAATAAGTTTTCTTGCAAATAAATTTATTAAACCTTTTTTCCGTTGCTACACCATTTACAAATGTGTGTGTGTATGAAGATAGAAAAATTGTATAAAACTCGTATTTCATCTCGTTGATATTATTATAATAACTTAATATTGCCTGTAACAGTCAAAACTGTACAATTTACTTGGTCTCATAGATTGTGACAATAACGTGGAATGTGTGTTAGGCTCAGCCTTGGATTCACTTTCCACAATCGGGAAATGCTGCACTCGTCCACTGCTCCAAGCTATTGTTAAACAAATCCATGACAAAGATTTTTGAAAGAAGTTAATACAGTTTGGCACTTCTCCAGTAAATCCTTTAATAAGGCAGCTTGCTTGTGCTTCCACTATTCGCGATAAATGACTTAAGCTTGTTTTGACCAGAGCAATAACTGGACTATCCTGTTGGAGAAACAAATTAATACAAGATATTCCACAAGATATTTCATAAGATATTTATTTGTTTCTTCTATCTAAAGTTTGATCGCATATCTATTTTATTTTATAAACAAAAAATGCATAAAGCTAAATCTAAATATTTTTTTACAAACCTGGAAAAGAATAGCAAGATATTTTCCTGTTGGATCCCATTCCATAGAAACGATTCTACCTCCCACCGTGACATAATCATCATTATCCTCCGATGAGAAATTCACTTTTGTTAAATCAATTAGGCGCGTAGCTATTTTTATATCATTATTGTTTGCCTTTTTAACATCGAATATATTATCCTGCAGTGGCAATGAAAATATCGTAGAAGGATCTTCGGTAGTAGCAAAGAGTAACGTTAAATTAGGACCAAAACATGCAGTTGCTACACGACCCTGGGGTACAGTCCATTTTTCTGCATGCCATGGCGTCGGAACGCCAGTATTCCAAACTCTAAAATTAAATATTCGCTTCTTTATAACTGCATATCTAATTAAGTTTACTGTAAAAAAAGATATATATACAGATTTAAAAGTATTACCTGAAGATATTTCTGCATGAAGCAGAGAATAATCGCAAGCCACAAGTCGACCAACATGAAAAGCATATGCCACCTCCACCAATACGCTTTAGCGGAATTCCTTCCTCTTTAGAAACATCCCAGATTATTATATTTAAATCTGTTGGTGAGCAAGACGCCAACAAGTCACCCTAGAAAAAAAAAACACTTTACAATAGTATCTGGGGATAATAATTTCCATTATATTTAATTAATATAGACAGAGAAATAAAAGGATATATTACTTGTGGATGCCAAGCAACATTTGTGACGGGTGCATGATTTCTTTGATTCAAAAGTATCGCATGGCTAAGTAAATTACTAGCTGCTCCCAACTCTATTGTCCAAATTAATACTCCGGAGTAACAAGCCGCCGCTAATTCGCGGCCGGCATGAGGTCTCCAACTTAAACAGCAAACTGACTTTTGTGCGCTATGTCTCAATACTGGTACGCCTAATAGACCTTGCGAAAAAATACGAATTCTATCGTCTCTCATAGCCACAGCCAGGCGAGCACAATGTGGATGCCAGGATAGGCATCGTACCTATCATAAATGTTTATAAGCATTTCGAAAGTGCTCATATATATTCTCAAATATTAAATGATCCTACCAGTGATGTATGCCAATCCCGTGTAGCAACAATATCAGCAACAGATCCATTTCCCGATGTCGGCAACACGTCTCTGTGATATATTCCTCTGTCCATCAAATCCAATATCGAATTTAGTCTGAAATCATTAAATATTTTCTGTCACACAACGTAAAAATACATATTCTCTGGAGTTGACTTCAAAATCTATAATAGTTACAGATATAGTGAGTCTATCAGAGTCATTGAATTTATTAAAAGGCACTAATTAATTTCAAGGAACTAAAATAACAATTCATGTAAAAAAGAATTAATACTAAATATATTTTAATAAAAATAATCAAATTTACAAATGTAACATAAAGAAAATTGAATTGAGAAAAGATTTATAATTGCTCTAGTGAATTTTTTCTAAGAATTTTTTATATAATTTTTCAGAATTTATGAATAATTTTTTAGGAAATTTCTCAGATGTTTTATATAAATTGGAATACTTTTTAAAAATGTCGAGAAAGTTTACATCTTTTCTAAAATTCATCGTATTTATGAATTCTGAAATGTTCTATGATTTTTAAGATTTTTTATTTTATAATTTCTAATAAAACCTTACAAAATATAAAAAAGTTTGATATTTTTTCAGAAAAATTATAGACTAAGAAATTTTAGAAATCCTATAATATTTCAAAATACATACATAAAAAATTTTAAGAAAAAATGTAGACTTCAATATTTCTGGAAAATGTCCAACTCTCATAAGAATTCTGAGAAAAATTTTCACCAGATTGAGTAAATCTAATAGATCCACATCAATTCTGAAGAATTGAGTCCAGGAATGCAATGAAGACTGAGATACTATACCTTGTTGCAATCCAATGCACAACATTTGTGATCTGTTCTGGATCTGCAGCAGCAGCAAAGCGAATAGCCTCAGACAATCCTCTTTCTCTCCATACATTGGCAATCTTTTTAAAGATGCTGTCGTGAACAGGAAGAAACAATTCGCCGACACTGATTGTACGTGCGGTCTCACGGGTCGCTAGGATCTCCTGCGTGATAGAAACCTCAGGATAGTCACGCAGGTACTTGGCGAAGGGTTGCATCTCGTCCTGCAGTGCATCGTAGGTACAATAATGGACGACGCCCTCGATCAAGCCGACGGCGGCCACATCACCAAAGGCAGGGCCTTCGAAATCGTGAAGCGACAGTATCTTGAGCATATTCCTCTCCTGTCAGTCGCCACCGCGACCTAACCTATACGTTTAACCTGTACGCAAAACAAGTAATAATTACTTATTTAGAACCTTGTTTTTCCAATTATTTACATAAACATACTATGGCATAAATAGGGACGATTTTTTCGTTACCGCGAAAAATGTAACACCTTAAATATAGAGATCTTGAAATATTTGTTCATCTTTAACCTCACATGGCGCACGTAACCTATCTTTGATAGAGCGGCCAAAGTAGATAACTAAATGATTTAACTTAATGCTCTACACGAGAAATGTATCTATAATTTAATTTTAGTCACATGACATATTTTTTTTTCAGTCATAAAAACTGTCCGCGAAAAACGAAAGTATTACAAGTTTATGTTTATAAACTCGACAGGTATCGCTTAACTGTCACTTTATATCCAACGATATTAGATAATAATTCTAGTCGTATTTGACTCCAATAAATTATACGTTATACTTATAACACGTTAAAAAAAAGGGAAAAAAATAAATTCAATATTTCAACGTAAAAGAACACTAACGATAAGCTGCACTAATTCATCGGTCCTTATTGCCTCTTTTCTCGGAAACAATGCACAAGTTAGACGTAAAATCCGTTTAACTTGGCTGAAATTCAAGTGGAAATTATATATTATGTTCACATATTTCGTTCACACGTGCGTGAAACAGCGCGCCTCAAATAAACCAGAGTAAATGACCTGAAGATAGTCGAGTATCGAGACTGGTCGAGAACGGCAGAATGCAGTGACGGCGAGAAGCGCGAGAAACTTCAGAAACTTGAAGGGAGCCGCGAATCGCTGCGATTGCCGCGATCAGCCGGAAAAAATGGCGCGTCGTTGTTTACGTCGGTTGCCATGGCAACAGCCAATCGCGACGCGTGGTGACGGGGACGCATGCGCGTCGCGCGCGAGGCGAGCGGTTCGAATCTCCGTGGGGGTCGCGGACTGTGGAGTTACGATCGGTTTAGATTCGGTGCTTGGAATGCTACAAGATTCACCGCGAAGACTCGTTTCACGAACGACATTGCGAGGCGGACGCGACGCAGCTGTACCGCGATTCGTATCCGCTCGAAGATCCCATCGAGGAATCGAAACAACCGGCACTGCGGCGGCGCGTACAGGTTACGCGAGGCACACCTCCACCTTTTGCACCCGTTTTGCTAGCGACCGCCTGTCCCTCTCGTCTCGCCGAGCGAATTGGAGCGAACGTCAGGTAATGTTGCTGGGAATTCTCCTAAATTGTTTACGTTTAGAACGAGTAAATATATATTCGAGCGTTGATAAGACAGAACGCGAAGATTTTAAGTGCAAAAAATATAAACAACGCGAACAGATCTACGTAGGGTGCTTTTCGTTTAATGACACAAGTATCGTTTTATCTTTGTTATTCACTGAATAAAATTATTCAGTGAAGAAAGACAGAACGATGCTATCGACTCGTATCACCAAACGGAAAGCATCCATCGTATCTCTCTCTCTGTACGTAGAAGGTACAACTGGGTGCAGCAAAACGCGGTCGAGAGGAACAGTTTGGAGCAGTCTATCGGCTCGTCACGGCGACGGTCGCTCTGGAGGAGGGAGAACCTTCGTGAAGAAGAGAGAGGGAGTGAGGAAGAACGGTGCGAGGTGGGTGGTGGAGCATCGGCAAGGGTGAAGTGGGGTGAGGTGAGGTCCGCAGTGTGCGGTCGCTGTTCGGGCGGCGTGGATTACATATTAGAATTGCTCGCGTAACGATAGAGAGACAGGGGAACTTTGCCATTTCGCGAAAGCGATATTTTGCGCCGTTATATATTTTATCACATCATCGAGTCGAACGAACGAACGAACGAGGTGATTGTCAAGATTCGTAGGACCGTGGGCCTTTTTAACCCTCCCCCTCCCCCACCCCCTGGTCCTCCCTCCAACGATCGACGAGCGAGCGAGCGACGGCGATCCTCGCGATGCTACCGACGAGGTAGTGCGCGAACCGTGTCCAAGAGAATGTATCGCGCGATGACGATCGCGGGGCACCGAGGGCTATTAATGTCCTAAAAGGGAGGAAGAGGAAGAAACGAACGGCGGATCGAACGAAGAAAATCATCGCGGCGCAGGACGAGACGCAGAGCGAAAGAAGAAGAGGTGGTAGCGACCGGTGGTGGTAGTGGAGGTGCGGGCGACCGCGAGAGATGGGCAAGAAGGGTTCCAAGCGGAAGACCCGATGGAGAACGCTGAGCATCGGTGGTGAGTAATATTTCTACCTTCCGTCCGTGTTTTCTTCACTCTTCGTACGTGAAGATTGCACGTTTAGTCTCCGTCTTCTCGTTCGTTCCAGTGGACGGTGCTCCGCTTCCTCGCGTAATCTCGCGGAACGCTTTCCTCCTCGCGAAACGTGCGACCGGTCATCGATCAACGGCGCGCGCGCGCGCGCGAGAGAGAGAGAGAGAGAGAGAGGAGGGAGGAGAGGGAAAGAAAAAGGAGAGAACGTTATCGCGTTATCGCGGAGATTCCCTGGGTCTCTTCTCTTCCTCCTCTTCTGTCGTTTTCAGGGTGCCGATCATGTAGTTTATTCCCTACGGCGGAAACGTGAAAAGTGAACAATTTCTTATAAAGTCTGAGATACAATTGAAAAGCACGGACAATGGGACAGCGGGTCGATCATGTAATGTAAGTCTTTCTCTAGACGGAAACGTGGAAAATAGTGAAAATTTCTTTTTGTATGTGTGTGTGTGTATATACATGCATAAAAATTTTCACTTTTCACGCTCCAGAGAAGTTACGTGATCGATACCCAGGGAATAACAGAGATTCCAACCTCTATATTAGAATAAACGATTTCTATTAGGTTGAATAATACTAATACTGTATTATTCCTTGTTTCTATATATATATATTGCCTGTGTTTTGTTATTGTGTCTCAGGGGGTCGATTATGTATCTTGGTATGAGGCGAAAATGACAAAAGAGAGCAAAATTTACTAGATGTAGATCGATGAAATTACAAATATCCTAATGAATTTATTCACTTTTGTAATTTTCCACCTCGTTTCGAGATATACAATCGACCTCCAGGAGGTCAATTGTGTATCTTGAGATACCTGGAAGTCGATTGTGTACCTTGAAACGAGATGAAATTGACAAAAATGAACAAAATTCACTAAGTTGATCAACGAAGTTATAAATATTCTACCGAATTTGCTCACTTCTATAATTTTCCACCTCGTTTCGAAATACACAATTGACCTCCAGGCTTAACTTCAATGGTAAAGAAAAATTTTTATTTCAAAAGAAATTACATGATCGCTTCCTAGATTCGTTTTTCGTCTTACGTTTCTTCCACCTTCCTCTTTGAGGGCGAGTCAAGCCCTTGAAGAGGAGAGGGAAAATAAGAACGACGGACTTGCTATTCTTGTAAACAATAAGCCGAGAGCGTGATGAGAATTTCATGATCGTGCCGCGTGAATCGGTCTCCTCGGTCGATCGTAGTAAAGTTCCTGTAAGTAGAATATTTCTTGTAAGAACGCTAGATCGTAAGTGAACGATCATGCTACTCCGAAGAGCGACAAAATGCGCCTTGTCCCTTCGTAGTTTCATCTCGTCCTCATCCTGATGCGGAACGTCCGAGAAATCTCTTTCTGGGCTGGATGTTCTCGCTGACCATGAGATTGCGAAACCAAATTGCCCTTCTCCTTTCCCTTCATGTCTGTGTAGTCTCCGTGTAAAAAGGAGAAAAAAATGAACGTCGCGACTGTAGAATAACAAACAAGGACATTAGTCTCTAGAACGGGGAACGAGGACTCTGTACTACGCGACTCGCGTACGTTCCCGATCGTGACAATGTGTCTGTTTATTTAATCTAGTTACTCGAATGGTGGAAACTCTTTTTTTCGAGAAATTCAAATTGAACTGAATTTGCTTGATGCGATGTCGAATCTTCGACTCGTGAAAGCACCGGATAGAGGATTCTATGATCGCGACGATTATCTAATCGCGAGACTCCCTCTCGAGAAGTCACAGCTTCTTGGAAAACCAGCGTGAATTCTAGTTCTTACTGTTTATTCCTAAAGCCTTGTGTCCGCGATGTTAGAAATAGTTCAAGGACGAAGAAATAATTGACCAATCGCATTGTATCCAGTAAGAAATAAAAATTTCCAATATCATGGCTAAAGCTTAAGACTGAACTTTTGACTTGCAAAAGCAACATTGTGGCTGCATTGAGAAAAATTTCTGGTTGAAAATGAACGAACCAAAAGATTCTGATTATGTTAATTAGAATTGTGGTTACCTCAACTACAATTATAATAGATTTAATCAGAAATTTTTGTTTGCTTATTTTCAACCGTAATTTCAATTAGTGCAACCATACTCTTTTTCGTGCAACCATTTATTGGAACGAAGATTATTCCTATTATTTCTATTATTATATATATTTCTATCATTACTCTCACGAAAGATCATACGCATGTTCGAAGTAATCGAAGGTAATCGAAGATTTACCTTTTAAAAAAAAGAGTTTAAACTCGCGCTTTGTTTGCATACATTTATAAGACCCGGTTCGATTAACATTAGTTATGTCTATTTCTACCAATGTAAATTAATCTCAACCTCGATTTTACTTACTTTTTAGCATAACAATAATAACCAATTCAAGGCTAATAAGTCAGCGTGGAAGAGGATGCGCAATATTAATGTGGAATAATGACTTAACTTCATTTTTTGTGATGTTTCCTTTATTCAAAGTATTGATAATCAACACTTTGAGTAAAGAAGACATCACAAAAAATAGAGTTAAGTCATCATTCTACATTAATATTATGCACCATCTATCGCGCTGACTATTATTAGCCTTGAATTGATTATTATTGTTATTTTAAAAAATGAGAATCCTGCTAAAATATTCTTTTGTTTGTTTTTTAGCTTTTTCTAAATCTTAGAAAAAGATACAAAGTTAAAATGAGATTGAAGGTAATCTAAATTGATAATTAAAATGAACATTATAAATTAATCACAGTCAACTGGATTATCTATAATATCTTTATTATAGTGAGTACGGTCTGAATGGAAAGAGGATAAATAAATAATCAGTTGAACACGGTAAGAATTAATCAACGTCAACAGAATTAATTTCAACCATAACAATAGATCTCTCGAATCGTGTCTCTGTCGTCCGATTTCACGTGAAAAGTCGAAGGTTTTTCAAGAAACTCGACGCGAGACATTCAGAGTGTTGATCGTTATCAACAGCTAAACTTTCTGAAAACAAAGAAAGAAGATTCCGAATTTACACGACTCGGAGGTCTTCACACGTACATGCCTAACTGCAACAATAAGTGTCCATCTCGGAATCTTGCGCGAAGAATCGGAGCTTTACGAGGAAACTCGCGAAGCGTTATCGTAAGTTATCCAATTTGTTCATTCTGTCATAATGTCGAGTCTCCGGAAAGACTTTAATCGCGGCGATTTCCGAATCTCGCGCGAAGAACTGGAGCTTTTTCGAGCGAAGAAAGAGTTAAAAGCTCGAGACGTTCGAGTCATTTACTAAAGCGACAACTAAAATTCTTCTTTTCTAAATTCTTTCCACGACGGTCGAGGGAATTTCCGTCGAGAAGTTGCCCGAACCTTTCGGGGGAAATTCGATACGGTATTAGCTGTTACCGATTTCACCCTCGGGGCGAGTTTACTGAGCGTTTTGGTTGTCTTACAACCTCGTGATGTTATACGTTAACACTCAGATATTACAGGAGCAGTGGTAACTCAATCTCTTGAATAAAATAACATTTTGTTATTTTTAACTTCCATTTATGTCAAAATGTAATTCAATCCAATTTCTGTGGTTTGTTCCAAGGTAAACATCGTCCATATATACATATTAACATATATATTTAGTAAATAATAAATTAAATTGGAATCAAATTTAATACATTTTCTTGAGTTAAATTGTTTAGTCCATTGTTTTAGTCAAAACATGGTTCAGTTAACGATATATTGGATAGGAGTAATGACGACCTAATAGAAATGATTAAAAATAACTCAAATTGATTATAATTTGACTTTATAAATTTAACAGTGAATAATATATGGCTGTGTTCAGCAGAGAAAACAGCTTTGCAATTATTGTGAAGCCTACGGTGCATTTTTTCCTGCTAGATTGTTTGCATTTTAAATTATTAGAACTGCCATGCATACATTATTACACGGAATTTTTTTTGAAATTTACCCTGAAAATATGGTAGTTGTGGTACAATACAATATTTTAAAGATTTTTACTATGCACTTCAGTAAAATTAATCAAACTTATTTTATACTTTATTGTAGTTTTATCAATGAATGAGAGAGATTTACATTAAAATTTTTCGAAATACAATATTGTCCCATGACTATCATATTTTCAGGGTAAACTCTAAGAAAAAATTCTCTCCGTGTAGAATTCCATACAGAACATAAAATTTCTATTAATTTATTAAAATGCAAACAATCCATAAGCTTTATAAGACTTAAGATTTTTTAATATGATCGATTTATATATTTAAATTCAGTGAGGAGCTAAGGGCAAGACCAATTAACTTAAAAAAATTTTACAATAGTTGCAAAGCTGATTTTTCTGATGAAGCAGCCCATAATGAGCGCAATTCATGATCTGCAATTTACTCGTATAAAAGCGCCTGCAGACATGGCCGATGTACATCAATTTTACGCGCATTCACTAAATATTGGTTTGCTTTCATATGGTAATTATATATGCATATCACGTGTGTGTATATTTACTAATGTTGGTGTACATTGGCCATATTATCTGAAATTGCCCTGAAAATCTTCATTAAAAAAAAATAATGTTATATTAAAGGCATTATTTTAATTGAAAATAATTTTGTTAATTCATAATATTGTTAATGAAACAAATACATTATGCTCTTGTTTTAATAAATTTTTATTTATTTCATTAATATTGTATGTGAGTTAACAAGATTATTTTTTAATGAAAATAATGTTGATATTAACAGCATTATTTTATACCATTATTTTATTTCAGTCTTGAAATTCATTGTTTGTCGATGTGGTCCTTTCACATTATGTACAATATACGATTCATCATTCTGATTTACAATTATTCACGATTATCTATCCATTTAGATTCCATGGAAAGTTAATTACCATAACGAAAAGCTTATTATAATAATTAATCCAATTTTCCAGTCGTTTTAGCAGTTCATTAGTATAATTATTGTAGTTGTCTTATTATACATA